TTGCCAGAAATAAAGAAAGAGAAAAAGTGAGAAATCATCTCCCAAAGGGGATGACCATGCTACAATCCCTTCTCCTCCATTTTCCTCTCAGGATTTTGGGCACATAGGCCTGGAATGAGTTTCAAGCCTCTGAGTCTAGGAATTGAGCCATGGTCAGCCACAGAGGAGTCAAGCACCTTAACCACTACCCCACCTGCTGGCTCCAGAAAGACATCTCTTAATGGAGCCCCACAGACTCAGGGACACAACACTTCAGCAAATGGCAGCCCCCAGGGTTGTCAACTCCATCACTACCCTATGAGTATTGAACAAGTCTATAGGTAAGATCCATGAAAGCTCAAAGTCTTCTGAGAGAAAATTAATTAATTAAAGAAGAGGAAGAAGGCAGCTTGCCTACCCATAATCTTATTTTTAAAAGCAGAAAAGAAGAAATTTAAAAATATTTTGTCTTTCAAAAGCAAGTGTTTTTATTTTGGCTTTAACAGAAATAGGGTTTGGAATAGCTGTCATGATAATAGCAACAAAAACGGTTTTTTTGTTTTTGATTTTTTTTTACTTTTGGGTAGGGAGGCAGCCCTGTAGCTTAGTGGTTAAGGGAGCCAGATCCCACATGGCTTACTGCGGTTCAGGTTCTCACTCTAGCAATTTGAAAAACATGCCAAATGTGTAAGTGTGTGTATGTGTGCATACCCCAGATCCCCAAAGGATGGAGAAAGGACTGCAGTGTGACCAGCCCCATTGGGGGTGGTCCCTCTCCTTCTCCTCTGTCTCTGTGTTGTTCTCTGGCAAGTGCATGGACTCATTAGCAATAAAAAAAAAAATCATTACAAAACAGGTTTTCATAAAACTACACTCACTCAGCTTCCACCCTGCTCCGTCCACTGTCTTTCTTAGATCCACCATGGCTGGTCCCCCTAACTGTGGCATGCGATTTGGAATGCAGTTTCCAATGAAAGCTGAAAGCGTGAGTTAATGAGCACTTTTCTGTCTAAAACATTTCGAATTGACTCTGCCTGTTTTTCAATGAAGGCCAGTGGGAAACGTCCCCTGGAACCCCACACAGTGGGATTTCCCACTGTCTCATTGATCCCTGTCTCCTTCCGAAATCATACTTGAGAAAACCAGAAAGACCACCACCTTTCTGTTCCTTTCCGCGGGCCTTCGAGAGCTGGGAGTACTTCAGGACAGCCTGTGTGGGCCAGCCTGGCAGAGTGCTCTGCCCCGAGGAAGGTGCTCAGAGCAGGGACTCCCTCGGGGAGCAGGCGTTGGAGAAGGGCCCCTGCCCAGGCGCCTGTCCCGTTGAGAAGTCCCCTCTTTTCGACAACCTATTTCTATTCATCGGTTCTAATTATTTCCTCAGATCAGGTCGGCAGCCCATTAATCATTTCTGTCATCCCCCAACAGAATCCAGGACAACAGATCTCTGTTTTTCTAAAACCCCAGTGCCAGAAAATAAATTTGAGAAAGAGGAAACCCTTCCCTCCTTGCAGCGGCCGGCCGAGTGCTGCCTGGAAGAGGCCTCTGATGGCTTTCACTTTCTTCCTTTGCCCAGTCGTACAGCACATTCCATGGGAAGTGTTTATTATTATTATTTTATTTAACTTTATTTACTTACTTATTCAATTGGACCAGAGAGGGACAGAGTGAGAGAGAACATGAGAAAGCAAGCTGTCAGGTCCAGGACGTGAACCTTGGTTGGCCATGTGCAAGTCCAGCACCCTTAACCAACATGCCACCTGCCAGCCCCTCCCTGGAACGTTTTGAAAGGGAATTCAGCTTGGGAAGTAGAGTTTCCCAGTGGACTGAAGAGGTCACTATACCTGAAGTCGCCAGGAATACCAAATAGGAGCGAGAGAAAAGTGCGTAAATAAATGTGGAGACAACAACAGATATGGATTGATAAAATCCTCAGTTATGGTTTTACTAAGACCCACTGTCCTGACAACTTCAGACAGCAGAAAGAGTATCTTTAAGACAATCCTAGGAGCTATAAGCCTGCTACGCCCTAAAGCAATGGAGACTAACAGGAAACAAGCCAAATAAAATTCTTCCCAATGGCAAAGAATAAGCCTCTTAGGGTTAATATATTTGACTGCATACAAAAGGTAAGAAACCCCAGTGCCAGAAAATAAATTTGAGAAAGAGGAAACCCTTCCCTCCTTGCAGCGGCCGGCCGAGTGCTGCCTGGAAGAGGCCTCTGATGGCTTTCACTTTCTTCCTTTGCCCAGTCGTACAGCACATTCCATGGGAAGTGTTTATTATTATTATTTTATTTAACTTTATTTACTTACTTATTCAATTGGACCAGAGAGGGACAGAGTGAGAGAGAACATGAGAAAGCAAGCTGTCAGGTCCAGGACGTGAACCTTGGTTGGCCATGTGCAAGTCCAGCACCCTTAACCAACATGCCACCTGCCAGCCCCTCCCTGGAACGTTTTGAAAGGGAATTCAGCTTGGGAAGTAGAGTTTCCCAGTGGACTGAAGAGGTCACTATACCTGAAGTCGCCAGGAATACCAAATAGGAGCGAGAGAAAAGTGCGTAAATAAATGTGGAGACAACAACAGATATGGATTGATAAAATCCTCAGTTATGGTTTTACTAAGACCCACTGTCCTGACAACTTCAGACAGCAGAAAGAGTATCTTTAAGACAATCCTAGGAGCTATAAGCCTGCTACGCCCTAAAGCAATGGAGACTAACAGGAAACAAGCCAAATAAAATTCTTCCCAATGGCAAAGAATAAGCCTCTTAGGGTTAATATATTTGACTGCATACAAAAGGTAAGAATGACCTTGAGCCCGCCAACAGTTTAGGGTGACATCTAATTGACTGGCTGGTCTTCAGAAAAGTCATGACGCATTTTTGGATAGATAGAAAAACACAGAAAAAGACATCACAACTTTTCTGACAACTCTCTATATATAACAATTTTATATAGGTATTTATTTATTATATAACTATGTTATGTATACTTAACTAGGTATTTATCATGTAATTACAAATACACATTTATGCATAAATAATATTTATATTATACATATGATCAAACCTGTGGGGCAGGAGAGAACTTTGAGGATATAACCAACAACAGAAAATAAGAGACAGAAGAATATGTAAAACACAGAAGTCTGATTCATGCCATGTTAAGTCCTTCATCACTCATACACCCTAGGGCTGAGCTGTTGGAAAAGTCATGATGTATTTTTTCCTACGCTCGTCTATGTAAAATTGCGTTAGGAGCTGTCTGACAAACCAATAGTTCCTACAGTGATCTCTGAAAAATACAGAAATTCGTGGCATGACACCTACTGTGTAAGATCCCCAGGTGGGAGATTTTGTTTCTCCTTCCATGGTTGACATGGCCAACCTGACCAAGGCCAACTCCTTTCACACATGAAGGAGAAGCTCAGGGCTGTCAAGTGAGGGTGTTATGCCAACTCTGAGATCCCTCCAGGCTTCATACACTCTCAGTGTTAGACCTGGGTGGGTTTTACAAATTATTTTTGTTATTTGTATTTAAGAGAGATATTTGCTATAGAGCACAAGTGCTTACTGGAGAGAGAGAGACAGAGAAAGTGAGAAATCCTACCTCAGGGGGGATGGCCATGCTGCAATTCCTTCTTCATCCTCCTCTCAGGATCTTGGGCACACACACACACATGCTCACACGCACGCACAAGTGCCTGGTATGAGTTTTAAGTCAATGGGTCCAGGACTCAAACTACAGTTGACAATGAGGGAGTCCAGCAACGTTGTCATTACAGCATCTGCTGCAACCCCTCCCCCCGCACCCCAACATAGGGGGCTTTAACACCTCTTGAAGCTCTTTGATTCTCTGATTTTCAGAGGCTCATAAAGATGGTCCACACCGTCAGAGAAAACAGTACATTTCATACACACAAACCATTCTCCTTTGTGGGTTTGAGTCAAACTATGGATTGATCAGTTATGTTGCAAGTAGCTTGATACACCCAAGTGTTTTCAATACCTCAGTTTGCGACGGATTTACTTAAACATCAATTACAGCAATTTAGTCATGTGGTTTTTTTAGCTGCCATTTTTCAGAAATTATTTTGAGTCTTCAATACAGAGACATGTATATAAAATGCAAGGAAGAGATACACAAGGCTGTAACAACTGCAGAAATACTTAAAAATATGTAGAACACTGGCTCTCCTAGGCTTGCCAAGGAGATGGTGTGAGAGGTCTTTTTTTATTATTTACTTTTTTTAAGAGACATTTTTACAATAGGGTGCAGGCAGTCGCCAGATAGACAAAGAGGAAGTGAGAAATCACCCTCCAGGGGGGATGGCCACGCCACAATCCCTTCTCCTCCATTCTCCTCTCTGGGTTTTGGGCACGCACACACGTGTGTCCAGCATGAATTTTAAGTTGCTGGGCCTGGGACTTACGCCATGGTTGACTGTGTAGGAGTCCAGTGATGTAATCCTTACACCATCTGCTGGACCCAGTATGAGAGGTCTTCTAAAGTTTAT